AATGTCCTCTAGGGGAGAAATGTTATTTCTCCCAATAGTTTGTAATGACGTCCTACCTCTCGGGTGGTACTTAGCCTCACCATCTTCTCCCACCTCCCCTCCTCCCTGGGACACAGCCTCTCTCTGGATGAGTCTTTTACATCCACCTTTGGTATTTGTTGTCACCTGGCCCATCCTCTCCCAATCTTCATATTTCAGTGGTTGATGGGCTGAGGCCAGTGAACCATCTTGAGCTGTTATTTTATATTTCAATCGCCTTTCTGTTTCTTCCTTTCTCGCCTCTCTTTCAGAATTGATATCTTCGTGTGACCTCAGTGAGATAAGAAACTTATCAGGCTCTCACAACCTCTGGTTCCCGAATCTATCATGGTGAGGTCTCAGGACTGTGACTTCTGAGTGTGGGGCTGTGTCTCGCTTTCCTGGGGCTATCTCATCTGAAAGTTAAGAACAGCCCTGACCAAGATAACGTCCTCCTTCCAAGTCTTCCTCCTGCAGCGCCTCCTGTCTGTCTGTGCTCTGCCCGCAGAGCTTGGCCGAGGGGTGTCAGAGGTGGAGATGCCGGGAGCCTGGGGATTGATCCACGTTCTCATCCTGCACGAATGTGCCTGGAGAGAAGGTTCTAGTTCTGAGTCATTTTGCTCACTGCCTATGACTATTGTCTGACTGTGAACGTGAATGTGGACCAGCTGATGGGAAGGTTGCCATCATCGGAGTCTTTTACCTCCCAAGGCACTAGAACCTCCGTGTGGGAAGTGACGGTGGACACTCAGAAGCCCACAGGGGCTGGTCTACCCTGTCTTTAGGGTCGCTCTGCGTGAGCATCCCTCGATGGCAGTGACTTGTTTCGGTTGTTGATTTTTGTTTCTTTGATTGACAAAGCAGGAAACAGCAGCCCCTCTCTCGTGGGGGTCTCTGGAATGTGTGTGCCCTCTCTCTCTATGTGGGTGTTTTCTTTGTTGTTTTTACCCCTCCCTCATCAAGGGCACAGCGGTTCAAGTGGGTGGCATACAGTACTACGTTGACCTTAGGCCCAATGGGGGTGAGGGTGGCTGCTGGATGGACTGGGGACCAAAGCCCCCTCCTTCAGTACCCGTCCCAGAGAAGGGGCACATGGATACAAAACACAAATCCAACTCGAAAGGAGTTAAGAATTTAAGGCGCCATTGGTGGAGTGATAAACACCCCCTAGCCCCTTGGAACTTGGCTGCCCCCAACACGCACCTGGAGCCGGCCCTGCCCCCCAGGTCCCAAGCTTGGCCTCCCACAAACCAGCTCCTCACTTTCCGCAAAGCGCCCCTCTGCATGTTCGCCTGCCCCTCTCCATGGGCTGCTCCCCATACTGTCCCCATGACGCCAACTCCAATTGCCAAAGACCTGAGTGCCCTCTGGCCTCAGAGCAGAGGTCCCCAATCAAATTGGTCCCCCTTGCTCCCAATTAGCTAGAGGTATGGGTATCTGTGCCCCCCACCCCACCCCTAGGTGACACTCTAGGAGCACTGGTGAGTCAGGAGTTGGGGCATCAATCCTATATGCTTGATCAACCCTTGCTGCTCCTGGAAGACCCCAGAGAGGGATAGGCCCCTTCCCAGCCCATCAGGACTCCTGGGCTTCTTGGTTCTTGGGGTACAGGGTGTGGAAGTCCAGGCTTGACACCCCATGAGGGTGGGGTCTGGGGTGTTGTGGTCTAATGGTGGGGGATGCCCCCTTACTGGTACTCTCACCTATCCCTTACTTTCCCATCCTGCCCCTCAAACACAGTCTGGAACAAGGACTTTCTCGGCGTGGATGGGGGCACAGGACACCCTCATACTAAGACCAAGCAAGGTGTAACAGGGCCTGAGGAGGGTACAGGAAGACCCTCCCTTTCTGCATCTCTGCCCACCACCCACCTCCACTTCAGCCCTGAGTCTATTCTGAGCAGACTCTCTGCAGGTCCAGCTGTCAGATACCCCAGTCAGCAAGGTGAGCAGGGTCCCCACTGCAGGTAGGTCTGTTTCCCCCAGCACCCCCTCCCCCTGCCCCATCCCACAGAACCAAAGCTTCTGTTCACACCACCCTTGGCAGGACGGAGGACCCAGAAGCAGGGTAAGCAGGATCTGACTTATGCTTTCTCTTCTGTGGTTACCAGTTCCCCGTTTTCACACCAGCGTTCATAGCTCACTGTGAAACTCCATTTGTTCACTACAGATGAGTACATAGGTACAAAGGAGCCCATGCTTACCTGGCTGACTGGGCCCCTTGCCCCTGCTGTGTGGACCTTGGTGAGGAGCCACACTAGGACAGAGATCGAGGGCCTCTGCCCCATCTGGCTGGCCCCAAAGCTCAGAAGGAAGGTCTGCCCCCAGCTGTCTCAGGAAGGCCCCTGCACAGGTTGCTGAAGGATGTGAGACAGTGTCTCATTTTCGGGGAGACATGATCGCTGTCCTGAATTCCATGGGTCGAGAGCTCTTGTCTGTACCAATGTGTGTACTCTGGTCTAGCCGGATGGGTAAGGTAGAACTGGGTCCCGGTAGTGGGGGGAGGAAGCATTCAGGAACTAGACCAGAGGAGTGTTTTGAATGACAGCATGATTATCAGGAAAAACAATGAAAAAGAAAAATGATTTTTACACCAAAGGAAAAGACTGTGAAGAGTTGGAGGAGGCTCAGGGATGGGAGGCATGGGTGAGGAGAGGAGAGGGATGAGAAATTGTGGAGGGAGGGATGAAGGATGGGAAGGGGGGAAATAGATGGAGAAACACATTGATGGGGTAGGTTTATGGTGACAACCTGGCCAATAGACACATGAGGGACTAATAAGGTTGCAGTTTAATTGAAGGCCAAAGAGATAAATGGACCGATGAGCTTCGTCTTTCTATCTCTTGCTCTCTGATGATCAGGCCAGTGTGTGTCTGCCTTAGCTAGTTCTCTGCCTCAACTTGTGAGCTACACTACTTGTGGGACACCCAACCCGAGGACCATAT